CCCAGAAAACAGTGTTTTACCCTGTGATTTCTTCCATTTTATTTAAATAATGGTGACAAAAGTGCCACCACACTACAATAAAAGAAAATATATCTGAAATTGAAACAAGAAGTGCAGAACACTTCAGGTATTTGAAGGTTTAAAACATTTGAAATAAGATTTCATCAAACAGAAAAATTGCTGTGTAAAGTAAGTCTTGTTCCTGCTATAACTGACAACATAAAAAAGACATAAAATCAAGAAAAAAACCATCTCTAAAACCTAGTGCTATTTGCATTCACTTTTAGCTCTTCTCAGCAGACCTGCTTAGCTAATCTGGTGGCATCACTGGTGACACTTATCCATAGGGCATAAAATAGCAGTTTGCCACCCACCTTGAGCAGGTTGTTTTTGAAGTGTTTGAAGGCAAAACAAAAAAGTACCCTGCCATTAGTGGCAAGCTGGAATTTTATATCCACTTGTTTTTGACAGTTATAGTTGAAGCTGTCACTTACTATTTTTTTCAGAGCCTTTAAAATGGATCTTTTTACATGTTAACATGAATATATTAAAGTGGAAAAAAATCCCTGCAGCTTTACTGGGTGCTAGTTGACACATGGAGACCTCGGTATTCAATGCACACACAGAACACATGTGATTAAAATTGCAATTATAGCTCTGTTTTAAGCATTTGAAAGCATAAATTAAAGGGGATTGGTAATCTTTTATATCCCAAGCATTTCCCATTTCCACACATTCCAGCTCAGAATCTATGCAGTCTTTAATTGGAGCACTGAAGGAATTGAGGCAGCAAATATTGTACAGCTGTTCTTGTGATGAAAAGCACAAAATGTTTTAACTTGCATTGCACCAAAATGAATAGTCTCCAGACCAGAGTCTTTTTTTCCCCTCTTTTCCCAAATGTCCTTTTGTAAGTTGAGGTGGCTAGAAAGCTTCTCATATGAGAAGAAGCTGAGATAGCTGGCATGGTTTAGCCTGAAAAAGAAGGCTCAGAGGGGAATCTCATAATTTTTTACAGATATCTTGTGGAAGGATGTGTAAAAGATGGAATTAAACTGTTCTCAGTGATGCCCAATGACAAGGTGAGAGTCAACGGGCACAAACCAAAACACAGAAAATTGTCTGAACATAAAAAAAGCCACATTTTTACTGCAGTGGTGATTGAACATGAGGCAGGTTGCCCAGAGAGGTTGTGGAGTGTCCATACTTGGAGGTATTCAAAACACAACTGGACAAGGTGTTGAGAAACTTGCTGCAGCTGACCCTGCTTGAGCAGAAGGGTTATACTAGATGGTTTCTGAAAGTCCCTTCCAAATTCCACTGTTCTGTGATTCTGGGAAATTCGGAGAGGGTACTCAAGTTTTGTAGATAGCTTTGAAAATTGTTGGCAGGGTTTTTATATATGGGACTAGAGAGTATGTCCGGAGCCGTCGGATTTATTAAGCCTGTCACTAACACAAACTGTATCAGGAAATTCTATTTCTAAAACCATATCATGTCCTCCATTTCATAACACATTTCTTTACAAAGATAGAGGCCACGTATCCAACATGTTCACTCCAGTGAACTCCTGCTGTGTTTGTATTTTCTTGAATTTGCACACGTGTGAGAGTCAGTTGTATCGCGTTCCCTTACTGGGCTGTAGATGAGCAGTGAAGGGTGGGCTGCCTATTTGCCTTGTGCTGGTTGCTGTAAGCTGGATCAAGTGGACTACTCAGGAGGGATAAGGAGTTTGTTTTTCTCAGGAACCATGGAGGAGTGAGGAAAACAGCCAGCAGGAAGACCAGGGCTTTGCTGAGAACATCAGTGAGATAGTCCCCTTGGATTTAGAGGATTTTAGTGGGGTTTGTGCAGAGGCTATTGTCACCCTACAAGTCCCTGAAAGGAAAGAGACATATTACTCCAGGAGTAAAGGTTTTTCAAGCATTTCTATTTTCTCTAGAAATTTGTTCTAACTTATGTTCAAGAAAGTTTCACTTTCAAAGCTCAAAACTTTTTCTGGTTCTGTAACTAATAAAGAGGTGGAGGGCATCTGACTTAGCACACTAAACTTCTTTTTAACCACAGAGACTTGCCTAAGTTCACATCTTAGCCCACATCAATGCATTGACTGAGTAGCTCTATATTCTTACTGTTTTCTTCTCCTTTCCTTTTATCTTATCATGTAACCAAATAAGCCAAATAGTAGTGTCTTTTTGTTGTGCCCACTTTCTGTGCAGAACATGGAATGAATGTGCATGGTACACAGGGGGATCCTGGTATGTAACTGCCATAAAGTATAAGCAGAACACACAAAGTTATGTTTTTTTAAAACCTGTCTGAAATGAGGCGTGTCAATACCCTAAAGAGCAACTTCAGCAATCAAAATATGCTTAAACCTTCACTTTAACTTTAGATAAAGAACATCTTCTAACTGTCACTTTTAGTGGTTGTCTTCAGTTAAATCATATGAAGAGTGCTTTGCTGGACCTCTGCTTTAGCAAGGTTTAAGGAAAGCTGATTTACTGGACTCTCTCATTGTGAACTGGTGTAATGGCTCTGTTGCATTTCGGTGGGATTGTCAAATGTACTGGTCTCACCTTGTTCTGAGGTCAGTGAATCTTCCATATACTTTACAAGCACTGTCTGTTATTCCAGTGGCTTTCAGAACACAAACTCATTTTGTGTATTTTTACTTGTTCAGCAACTGAGGCTTGGATCTTTCAAATTTTCTATTTCCAGTTAAGTTCTGATACTGTGTTCATTTTACTTGTCTTGGTAGTAACTTTGCAGTACTGTGAATATGCTGCAACAAAGGTAGTTGAAAAGTGGTTTCATGAAAATAACATGCCTTCTAATTTCCTTTGGTTATCATGTGAAATCTCTTAAATACAATGGAGAAAGAACTCCTCTCTCTTGCTGGCCATTACAGTCTGAGATCTGAAAGCTGGCCTGAGAAGACTGCACTGCTGTCCAATAATTAAATGGCAAGAATACAGCTCTCTATGACATATATTTTTTTTTCTGTTACATACAATGGACTACTGAATTTTTATGGAAGTGTTTATGAATTTTCCTTATAAACTTGCAACACCTGCTCGGTTGCTGCATTTATAATTCTTCATTTTTCACAGTCAGCTTTATAATTCATCCTTACAGAGATAATTTCTGAACACATGTGCAATTACCACTGTTTACTCTTTTTTTAAATCCTTCTCATTTTTTAATTTTTTCCCTCACTCTCAACATTTATCTCCTTGCTATTATATACAGTTAAAGTTGCTTAAATACAAGCATAGTCCAAAAATAGGCCAGTGTAAGAATCATTTCCTGTATAGCAGTCTCATGGTTCAGCTATAGAGCTGAATGACTATACAGTTCGTGTCAGGGCTATATATCAAGAAATGCTTTTTAAACTGGGATATAAAAGTGTAAAGGAATTAAATTTTCTCCCATGAAAGAGGCATGCTAAAATGTCTTCACTATCAATTTACAAAGTAAAAGATTTTAATGGGAAGGAGTCACGAGCTTGTGCAGATTCTATCTTGCATTTTGGAAGACAGCAAAAAAAAATATATTATCTATTTTGTATACATTTATGGGAGCAATAAATACCTGATAAACTTCTCATTTTTTTAAATAGACTTTTCCAGGAGCAGATACAACAATACAGTCCTTGGGAAACTGCATCATGCAGAGGGAGAGAGTGGTTAGAGAATAGTGAGATGGTGTGTGTGGGGAAAGAGAAGGTGGCTATTCTCCCCACTGTCATTTTCATATTATTATTTAGCATATAGGAGAGGGCTAAGTTTGGTTGCAATTGTTTCATACAGAATTAATTTTTATCCATAAATTTCCTACTTTAAAAGGTCACATCTGCTCAAGAAGTTATCCCTGAGATCTGTGTAATTAAAGATAACTGCTTTTTGAGTTACAAAGAAATAACTGAGCGTTTATTTCTTACCAGAACATGATAAGTAATGACATTACTGGATGTGGGGAAAGATGTTTGTGTCTGAGGGGTTTGGAATGAATCAATATGGAGAAGTGGGAAGTGCTGTGCAGTGCAGACTGGATCGGGGGCATCCATGAGAATGGTGTGTCTGGGCCTTGAAACAGAAACAAAGACCAAACAGATGGTAATGAGCTGGTGTTGCCTGGTGCTAGTTAAGTTTTTCCACACTGTCTAGCAGGGGAAGTCACTGGTTATATGTATGGATGTAGGTTTTGTTTTCCTGTTCTGTATTATTGGCTTTAAACGCTGTATTTCATTTCTTTTGAGCATGCTGTTTTGTGGCATTTTAAATATTTGAACTCTGAGAGCTCCCACAGGGTGAATTTCTAAATTAATTTTGAAGTATTGTAGAAATTGCAGAAGAAACAGCATTGCTGAAGCTGGAGTTGGTGTAACAGTGCCAAAACCTCGGGGTTTCCTCTTTGGGAATTTATCTGAGAAGTAGTTCTCCGAAAGAGAATCTCCCAAATGTAGGTTAGTGTGTTAGAGCATGTGGGGATCTGTGGCATCTACAGTCCCAACAAGAATCTTCCTGCACGATGCAGGAACAGAGGCACCTAGAAACTGATTCCATGTATTCCTCCAGGAATCTGCAACTGAACCTATGGTGTCTCGTTACAAAAAAGTCCTACTAAAGAGTTATCCTCACAATATGCAACAAGTTATATCAGGTATTCTTTTTGTTGCACTTGAGCCTACCTCTGTATGATATTACCTGAATGATAAACACTTCAGAGCTTCCTTATCCCAATGTTCTCAATATCAGTAAAGTACAAAAATTTGTCTTAGGAATGGCGAATTGTTTTGATACCCAACACTATAGTTGACATGAGTAAGACATTTTGTCTTTCTATGTGGATTGATATAAAGTTAGGAAAACATTCACTTGAGTGCCATTTGAAATGACTATCAATATATTTGACCAATCATTGTGGAAAAGACCAGGCTGGATCATTATATGGCTAATAAGGAAAAGGTACAGCTAACTCTGGCTACTATGTGGACTCTTGTTAATGGTTCTGCCTCTGTCATATTGAAACTGGTATGGGGAAATTGTTTCCAGATTTTAGATGTGGAGTTTAGGCATGGTTTGAGAATTCATGTGTACCTACTGAGACTGTCAAAAACAATTTTCACAGAATTGTAGAATGGTTTGGGTTGGAAGGGACCTTAAAGATCAGTTAGTTCCCATCCCCCTGCCATGGGCAGGGACACCTTTCACTAGATCAAGTTGCTCAAAGCCTCATCCAACCTGGCCTTGGACACTTCCAGGGATGGGGCATCCACAGCTTCTCTGAGCAACTTGTGCCTGTGTCTCATCACCCTCACAGTGGATAATTTCTTCCTAATATCTTATCTAAACCTATTCTCTTTCAGTTTAAAACCACTCCCCCTTGTCCTATTACTAGATGTCTTCGTCAAAAGTCCCTCTCCAGGTCTCTTGGAGCCCCTTTTAGGTATCAAAAACTTAAACACTTTTCAAATGCCATTTTAAAAGCCATTGTAAACAAAGCTCTTTCTTCCTTCTGTCATTAACGTTGATGTTAATGAAGGAACTGTTAGAGAAAGGCCACTGCAGGATGATCATCAAAGCTCTGCATGACATGTTTATTAACAAAGTGATATTTTATTAATGTTTCTCAAGTTCAGCCTGTTGTGATTTTCTACACTTTTTTATTTTATTTTGTGTGCTGTGATTTTGATTACTTTTCAGAATAGCTCTTGTACCTCAAGAATCAAGAATATACTGAGTTTGGTTTAAGAGGACAGTTTCTTATAACAAATATTCGTGTAGTAGCTGCAGTTTGGGTAGTGTTTATTTCTACACTATTTCAGTGGTTCAAGGACATCAGAACTTCCAGCCAATGGTTTCCCTCTTGGATGACCTGAGATGTCAGTTTGATTTTTTCCATGTAGGCAGAACTAGACTTTGGTAGAAAAGCCAAGCACCAGAGCTGCTGTTAAACTGGAAGTGGGCATGCAAGAAGAGGGACAGGTATTTGTACAGTTGTAAAGGAGATCAATGCACTGCTTTGACCTAATGGATTGCAGAAATTCCTGAGGATATTACACTTGCAAATTAAAAGTAGCTTCTCTTTTCAAAATGATCTGGTTGCCTGTTTGCCCTTCCCACCAATGTTTTGCATTTAGATCACCAAGTTTGTTTATTATTCCCCATGGAGGCATTATTCTGTTTTCAACAAATAAGTTCAATATTTAAAGAAACAAAACTATCAAAAAACTGACACAGACAAAGGTGAATAGGTTTAGGTCACAAGAAGTGTCTACATATAGTCTTCCTTCAGAAAGAAAATGTAGGAAGGTGCATCTTCTTATATTCACCATCAGTTTGAGTGAATTCAACCCACAGGCAACTTAATCTAAACTCACCTATCGCGAGGCGTACAACAAGTACCACCAAAAGCTCATTGAAGCCTAAAGACAGATAATTTCTCTTTGTAAATAGTTCTATACAGAAATGCAAAATTTCTGCAAAAATAATGGGGAAAGCATCTTATTCTTAATTTTGACAAAATATTTATTCATGTAATAAATTATGTGCAAGATGTTGTGTTTTGGAGGAAGTGGAAAACGTTGAGTAGATTTAATTTTGCTGCAACTATTTCATACATTAATTGCTATCCATAAATTTCCAACCTTAAAATGTCAGAATTACTCAAGAAAGCATTAGTGGGACCAATGTAATTTAAGGTGATTACCTTTTTGAACTGTGTAAAGATAATTAACCTCAGGAAGAAGTAATGTTTTTGTTGCTTATGTGTACAAATCCTGGTTATATCTGTGTTATAACTTTTTATAATTTGTTCTTGTACTGCTGTGTCTATAGAAATATATTGATTTGTAGGATTTGTTTTACTGTGCTGGATGAAAGTGTAATGAAAGAGCAATTTTAGGCATGATTCAAACCCTCCTAAAATCAATGCAGATCTTTCTATTGACTTTAGTGGGCTTTGAATCATCTTAAAAAATATGGTTATGCAAAAAGTTTTTTTCAGACTGTGTTCATAGACAGACTTTCAGTATGCTCTCTGATAATCCATTACTTTAAAAATTGCCAAGGTTACTTTTCTGCTGGAAGTGACCGGTTGCAGAGCTCCTGTATTCATTTCTGAGGTTTGATTAGCCTCCTACCTCAAACTGTTTGAAAACTGGGCCAGTGTGAAAACACTGCCTGAAGTATTTCTCATCTTGAATCCAAAAAGCAAAGAGGAGAATTTATAAATCTAACTGTAAAGGTAAGTGAGAGTTGGCATTTTAACTCTGAAGTAACAGGATGAAGAGCAAAATAATTTCTCCTTTCTAAAAGAAAATGTAAATTGTTTTGTTTCATTACACCAGTGGTCTCTCTGGTTTATCTTCTGATGCCTCAGGAAAAGTGTAAGCCTGTATAATGGACAAGCATTGAATAACGTGATTTCCTAACCTTAGGCAGATAGTTGCAGGGATTCCCCTTCTAACTATGAAGGCTGATGTAGTAGTCTTATAAATTATTCTTCCAAATAGTCTAATCACAGACATCTTTTAATCCTGCCTGCTTTCCTGTCTCTGTAATAGCTTGTGACATTGAGGAATACAAGCAATTTACATTCAACTCCAATGCACAACTCAGAAGGAATGGAGGAGGTTAATAGAAGGAAAACTCTCTTTGCTGCAATAAGAATTTTCTTGTGTGAAGGCTGAATAATCATGATCTAATTAAGTGAAAAGGAGGTGACTGCTCCTTTTTTTTTTTTTTTTTTTTTTACTCTGTATTAATAGGTGCTTTTCTGAACCCTGATTTAAAAAGACTGAATGAGATCGTGGGAGCCTCTGTGTGCCTTTGATCAGGCTGTAGTTGGCCTCTGGAAATGAGAGTGCTGGCACAGTGAATGAAAAATCAGAACACCTCTGTAATCCTGCCCCATCTCAAGGACAGATTCTCTTTCTCCCAAGTTTCCTTTACTCTTACTTCCCATCTTTGTCAACAGTTAATTTTGACAGAACTCATGTATTGTTGAAAATGTGTTTCTGGCATGAAATTAACAGTAGAGCTTGACCTAACAAATACCTCCCAGTCTGAGTCACTAAACACATGAGAATATTTCCATCAGCAGTGGCAGATCCAGCCTCCTGCACCAAGTTAGTGGATACTGAGCAGATTGAGGCCTAAATATGGGAGACCATTATGCCTAATGTTTCATTAAGTTGATTTATTGTATCTGTTAATCATAAGTAATAATTTAATGCCTATATTTTGGAGACTTCATTTCCTCAAAGAGAAGCACTAAGGGTTTAATTATTCCTCTGAAGTGTTTTTAAACAATATGAAACAGTGATTTGGAAAAACTAACATTAATGTATCTATTTTTTTTTATTTCATCTGATTACTGAAATTTATCATCAATCTAATGTTTCCCTTGTCACCTCTAAAGAATCATAGAGTGTGGATACAAAAAAAGAACAAGTCAATTGGGCAGTCAAAACAGTGGCATAGTGGGGTTTGTTGAATAAAAATTTGGTATTTAAAAAATAGGGCATATAAAGTTTTGCCTCATCTGCAGTCTTTTCGTAAGCAAGCCACCTGTTGTGTGATTTCTCATTTGTCGGAGCAGTACCTATACTCCTTCCACCACTAAGTTGTCCCAAACTTTGAGTTTTGGTTCAGTTCACAGTAATAGTGATCACCATATGTTCGTATCAGTCAAGCTCTATAAAATTACAAATGAATCTTCGTTATGCACAATCATTCATTTTAATTCCTGCAGGAGGATGACATCTGCTCTTGATCCTTGTACCTTTACCTCTAAGGAGAATCATCAGCAAGTCCTAACACATAATTCTTATTTAAAGGTAATTTACATATGTAAAAATTATTTTAGCACTCTGAGTTTCTGAATGAAGTGTGTATGGCTTGCTCCTACTTTGCATTGTGTTTGTGTGAGGGGAAGTAAAAATTAACACCACAATTAGTTTTCAGTGAAGAAAGATGCACATTCCTGTCCACTGCTGCTATATGAGGCAAAATGGGTATCCTATATCTGGAATGGCTGGATTATGGAGAAGATCTATGTGATACTGTGATGGGGTAAAAATGCAAATTCAAAAAGTTATAAATTCAATCCATCCAAATTTATAAAAACTAATTATTATGACTTTGGAAGAACAGGAAGGAGGTGTGTAGAATTTGCTCTATTGGATTTTCAGGAATGGTTGAAACTTTTCTGCTGGAAATGGCTTTTGGCAGGGACTTGCTTTTATGGTAGAAGTCTTTGGAAGAGAAACTGAAATCGAGGAGCTGGAAAGAAAACTAAAATGCTCTCACCTTTCACTACCGAAGTTACATTTCCTTGTTCTTTGCAGCTGGGTGTCACATCTCACTGGAGGTAGCAGCACAAGATAGGATAGCATAGGATGTTTAGTCTGGATTTAGTCTGACTCTAGAGCTTGAGGTTTGTGCAACCACAAAGAGTTTTTTTCCAAGTCCCAGAATATTGTGTTTCAGGTCCCATTCTTTCTTCCCCTGGTGTTGGTGTGGCTGTGCCTGGGCAGTGATTCCACAGGGAGCTGGGAAGGAAAACAGTTGAAAGAGCCTCAGGTAGGTGTGTGTGTGTTGGGTGGGACTGGCATTGTTGCCTTTTAATTTTCCTAGGCCTTCCAGGCTCTTCACTGCTGCTCAGAGTGAATGCAATTGCCCACACCTTCCAAGAGACGGCTTGTCATTACATTCATTTAACGGAAAGAAACACTTCTCTTCTCCTGTGAAAATATTGATAAAGTATTTCTTTATGCCTTTCTTTGACATCACCTACAGAAATAAAGCCAATTTTCCTTCCTAGTTATGATCTATTTCTCATTTCACTTCTGTTCTCACAAGTCAGTGAGTAATGTACTATTGCTTTGTTTCCCATCCTCAAAAGCACCAACCTGCAGATTCAGGTCAAATTTACTGATTTTCCATGAAAGGAAGGTCCTTGATTGTGTTTCCAGTGAGGAAAGTATTTAGGGTGGTCAAGTTGTAATCTTTTCTGTACCTATGTAAAATGTAATTCTAAAATACCTCAATTCAGATCTAATGTTTTTCACTGCGACCTGTATTAAGACTGATATTATTTTGCGTTGAACTGGCTATAAAATTTTTGTTGAATGAAAAGCCTTTTTTCTTTATAGAATACATCAGACTCCATCATTTTATTGAATTAACTGAAACAATGTTTCACTGTGAGATTTTTGTATGACAAAGACTGTCAATAGCACGTGACACTGAACTCTTTGGTTCAGTCTTCTCTCTTAAAACTTTAGTTTTTTCAGATTTACCTAATCATTTAGTGAATCCCCAATCAGTAAGTCATGTATCGTTTTAAAAGCAGAGCCTCTGAATGCATCTGTCCTGGTGGTTTGCCCTTCATGGTAGAGATCCTCAAATTTAAATAACCCAAGTGAATAGAATTCACACCAGCAAGCATCCAGCATTAATGTAAATAAGTGCCTGAGTTCATAAAGCAGGCTTTGGGTGTTTAAGTGGTTTATTTTTCACTAATCTACTTACGAATAAGACAGTTTTCTCCTTTTGTTTGCCAGTTACAGCTGTGCTCCCTCTCCCCTTTGTGCTGCTGCTGTTATGTGACAGTAGTGACTGCTGTTACGATTAAACCTTGAGTATTAATTTAATTCTTAATCTTCTTTCCATGGTTGGTTACATATGGCTATCAACTCACTGGAAGATTTTTTTTTTTGTGTAATGCTTCAACATCATAGTGTCCTGAATATGAGATTCATATGTTCTCAGGGAAATGCTGGACCTGTTTAAGTCCATGAGATTCCTATTAATTTGAAGGAGACCAGAAAGTCCCATTGATTTTTCTTTTAGTCTCTCTTAAGACCTTGCATGTTATTTGGCAGGTGACATTGCCTCCTGTTCCTCCATCTGTAAAGAGGAAGAAAATGATATTTACCTTCTTCTTTAATTGCTTTGAAAAATTTATATACAAAAAATTGGATAGACCAACTTGATGGCATTTGTTCCCTTAAAAAAATTTATATATTTTTCCAATTGAAGGATGAAGTATACGTGCTTGAATTCCTTATGTGATCTGTCTGTAAAGATTATATTCACTCCTTTATTCCAAGTGGTGTATCTGTGGTCTCTCATGTGAACAGCTTTTTTCAGTGCTCTATGACATTTTGATTATCTAAAGGTAAAGTGTCATGAATTCCTGTAGCTTGAACCAATCTGACTATGGTAACACAGCAGCATTTTACATCAAGGAACAGGGTAGCTTTTACTTGCACTCACTCTGGTAATTAACTCTTAAATTTCTTTGTATCTGGTCAACAGCAGGAATTACCATGTCAAATGTCTAAGCAAGCAGTAGGAGCAATTATTGGCATGACAGAGTTTACAAGTGTTACCAGAAAAGTTCAATTCTTGCTTCAAAAGCAGCAGCGGTGAGTGATGGGCAGAAGCAATTTCTGAATAACTGCCATCCATTCCCTGATTAATGCCACAACAGAAGAACATGGATTAAACATTCATTCCCCAATTTGTTTCTAACTATGCATATAAAGGTTGATCCCGATTATTTTAGCTCCTATTTCCATTTTCTGTGTTGTTGTATCAAATTTACATAAATGCTACAGTCTATCTGCTGTGAGCAGTGGTCTTTCTGAGTGCCTGGGAATGTAAAGGTTCATAAATATTTGGGGACCAGAAGGAAACATGAAATAGTTGATGGCTCAGAGCTACCCCCCTGGTCAGCTAGTTGAAGGCCCTGCCATACAATGTTATCAGTGTCTGATACTTCAGATAGCATTCGAGTTGCTGACTGATGCACTAAGTGATAATGATGGTTTGCAGAGAAATTCTGACCCCATCATAATGATTTTCTGATAGACACTTTGATAAATTGCCTGGTCTTAACCTGTAGTGTGAGTTTTGTCAAACCTGACAGCAGGAATGACTGATCTTGACATTGCTGAATGATTTATATGATCTCTTCTTCAATCTGTTCAAGATTCCCAGCTTTGATATTCATGTGTGTTTATATAGACATATACTTTTAAAAAAATATTGGAAACTTCTTTGTATTATTTGACTTTTTTGCTTTGTGATACCTACAGCAGTTTTTGTGTACAGTTCATCTCTTTGCTAAGACTGTCCTGGAAAATATGCAGTGAACTGACTGGTAAATTATGGTCCCCAACAAGTAATTGTTGGTGCTATGGAACATACACTCATAGGATCTGAAAAAAATTATGCTTGAGTGCCACTTGAGGACACTTGCCAGCTGACTTCTATCCTCCTCCTCCTTTCCTCCTCCTTTCCTCCTCCT